GTATTTTATTTCTGTTACTACCATTGGGATTAGATAAAGAGTGGTATGGTAGTGAAGAATATTGCAAAAGATCAAGCATTTAAGTTCTTCTATAATTGATGAAAAGCGCCAAAGCCGCTGTTGGTGAGGTGGTACGGAAGGCTTTTATAGCCCTGATGGCAAATCTCTTCTGGAGGCTTTATAGGGATTTTTTAATGCATCTTTGTGCTATTTTAATCTGGATATTTTATATCTGTACATTATCTAAGTAGTTAATCTGAATTTCCTTCCTATTACCCTATACAAGAAATATATTGAGGAATTATATAACTTCTAATCAGTTTTTATAAAGATTCGAAAATACTTAATATGTACAATAGAATATGGAAGAAGAAATAGAAATTAACTAAACTGAAAATCAAATTGAATGCCTTATGAAAACAGTGATGAATATATTTAGTAATATTAGTAAGATTATTTACCTAAATAAATTTAGGTCTTATAAACTTCTACAACAATTTAACAAAATCAAGAAAATCATTCAGTAATTTGATTTCAAGAATATATTTAGCGGTTGAAATAATTGCACGAATAATTTTGATGAAAATATAACTGTTTGAAACTAAAGGTGTGGATTTTTCATTCAGTGTAAAAACCAAAGATTTGGTTCAAGATACTTATATTTTTTGGAATAAATTGATTGCCTGAAAAATTGTGAATATACATGGATAATGGATTCTTCAACATTAATATGGATGGATGGGCGTTGAAAACTGTATTATTCCATTCCATGGATTTGGATGATATGGATTTCTTTATAAATGATTAGAAAACATACATACAAAACATTATTTATTGTATGTACAGTATCAGAATGAAGAAACAAAACTTAGATTTACAAATGATAAAAGAATATCGATTGAAAAACAAACCTAAAAGTCATGATTTCAAAAGGAAATATATTGGAAGAAAATTGCTATACATAAAGATATTACATAGTTATATTGATAACATCACATTGATTGTTTAGAGCTTCTCAGCTCAATATTAGAAGAATTAAAAACAATGATTGTAATAATATATAGAGATTTCATATAATAGAATAAAAAATATTTGAGATAATTAGAAAAAAAATCATAGCTGCATACAAGATTTTATCGAAGATAAGTTTTCTAAAATAAACAGAAACAGAATATATTATATACTGAGATATCCACGATTGGATGAAATTTATTGTTTAAAACCATCTACAACAATATATATACGAGTATATGGTAAGTGTATATAGGAGTCACATAAACAGGCTACGTCTTGAAGATTTATTAAATACATCTTTTTAATTCAATATGAAAACAGGTATATGTCTAGTTATTTATTGATAAAATCATCAGAAAATTTACCTACGGTGAAGGGGACCCGTATTAATCTATTATAATTGTTTTTATTTATTAAAATCACTTAATATCGATTAATTGTTTAATCGATGTTAAACTTAACTCGCATCGGCATTTGGATTTAAAATTATATGAAATAATTTGCTTTAACAACGTTTTTTTTTGTGTGTGTGAATGATAAGTGTGGTTGTGTTGGTGAGTTTTGATGTTGTTTTTATCAATTATAGGAATCGCGAGTTTCGTCGCGAGCGGCCGCCGAGGGTTGAAAAACCGTCGTCGCCGCATCACAGGTAAAATATATCTTACCTACACTAGCTTACTTCTTATTGATTATGAATTAAATGCGAATGTTTAGATGGATGGATGGATGGATGGTGAGTAGATGAATGTTTGTTTGAAGGTGTCTCTGGAATGGCTCAACAGATCTTTATGAATTTTGTCTAGAAGAACAAATAGGCCTATTATTTTGTCGCGGGCGACACCTAGTTATGTATAAAATTCTTATATACTGGATATCTATACTAATATTATTTACAATTTTGTAAGAAATTGTACTCTTAAACAGCTGCTTTTAAATTAGCACACTTCTATATTAAACAGTGGCGCCATTTTGCCTTTGAAATGTTGATTGGATGGATATGGACAATTGACCAATTAAAAAGAAATGTAAATTTCATTGTTCAACAGTATACCCTTAAAATGTAATTTTCAGAGAGCATTCCAAATCCCGAAGTCCCGAACGCTATCGAGACAAGAACTTAAAAGCAGAGAATAGAGAAGAGAGAGATGGGGGAAGAGAGGGAAGACCGGTAAAGGAGAGATTAGAGAAGAGAGACAGCTCTCGGGGAGGGGAGGAGCGAAGAGATCGTCCCCGGAGGAGCGAGGAGCGACCGCGACCCACTGAGAATGAGTCCCGCCCGAGAGAACGGAAGAGCAGGTGAGACCGCATAGATCGAACCATCCTTATTATATTAGGAGACCCCAAAAAAAATGGGACTCTGATTATCTTCATATGAGTTGAAAAATATATGAATGTTATTGCTCCATTTTATTTCTTAAAGTATGTTTGGTTATGTTTCATGTTTGTTTGTTAATATGTTTCGGTCATAATGTTTTTGATTTTATATAGAACCTAATTTTATGTAATACTTTTTTTAGATTTGCTGATGCAGATGATAAGAAGGAATACGGCTGGGGGAAGACAGAAGTGAAGAAAGAAGGAAAACCTGAAGGTGAAAAGGAGAAACCTGATTTCGGTCTGTCCGGCAAGCTGACAGCCGACGCCAACACTGTCAATGGCGTGGTTATAAAGTACGCGGAGCCCGATGATGCTAAACAACCAAAACGGAGATGGAGGTTAGTCTTTTTAAAATGTTTATATGAATTTTCATTTCAATGTATTTATTCTATAGTATTATAATATTATAAAGAGAAAAGATTTGTTTGTTTGTTTGCTTGCATTGAATAAGCTCCGAAAATACTGTACCGATTTAAAGAATTATTTTACTGTCAGGAAGCTGCACTATTGCATGGTGACATAGGCTCTATTTATTACTAAATATACTTAATCTCGTGCGAACGAAAACGCTGACAACTCCTACTTTGTATTTAAGTTGTGTAAAATAAATCATCCATTGGTTTTCCAGATTCTATCCGTTTAAAGGCGACAAGGCGCTGCCGATCCTGTACATCCACCGGCAGTCGTGCTTCCTGATCGGGCGCGACAAGAAGGTGGTGGACATCGCGCTGGAGCACCCCTCCATCAGCAAGCAGCACGCCGCGCTGCAGTACCGCGCTACGCCATTCGCGCGACCCGACGGCTCGCAGGGCCGCCGCGTCAGACCTTACGTCATCGATCTAGGTCAGAACTCTATATGTCATTTTTACCCTTTATTATATTCACAAAAGTTGAAATTGTGTTTAACACCCTTTTCTCAAGTTATTATTGAGAGGAGGGGGTAAACAAGCCAAAGAAATAACAAGGTGGTCAACGAAGCTCATGGAAAACGTGACTTTGTTTTTTAATTAAAAGGAAAATGATGCCCATGGACGTCCGTAATACCAGAGAAACTAGATGCGTTCCTCTGTTCCTGAGTTTATTATACTAAGAATTGTTGCAGCAGAATATTTTGCAGCCCTTAACGTAATTATAATACTGCAGTTAATATTTTACTTATTATAATAATTTCCAACTTCAGAATCAGCGAATGGTACATTTGTCAACAACAAGAAGATAGAGCCTCGTCGTTATGTGGAGCTTTTGGAGCGGGACGTGGTAAAGTTCGGCTTCTCTCAGCGCGAGTACGTGTTGCTGCATGAGAACAGCAAGGACGATGCTCAGGATGATGACAACCAGGACCCGCCCGCCGTCACCACTACTGACCACATCAAGCATGAGAAGAGGATCAAAGAAGAAGTGGCTGCTGATGGTGACTGAAATTATGTCTAAATGTGGGTTTCCATTGCCGAAACAATATACTAAACCATATGGTTATCTTTTTAATGTCTTGAAATGACATTTCGCTTTTTAGGGGATGACAAAAATGTCATTTTTATGTAAATTATCTCCTTAGTCTATTTCTCTTGTTTCTATTTTAAATTAAAAAAGAAATATTCCATGCTTACATATCAGTTTCAGGATAACAAGACCTTCGAGTCATTGTTTTAAGCTTGACATTATTCAATTTAAGAAAATAAAGTTTGTTTGATATTATTTTATAAAATGTCACTCCGGTATCCATTGTGTAGATGAAAATAAGACTTTATTTTTTGTTTATATGTAACAGTATCCAGACTATTGTTTTTTTTTGCTGTAATAATTATTATGAGAGAAATGTACTTGATTTCGAACACAATTTTTGATTATTATAGATATTTGTATTCTGATGTTTTCGACAATAAATTACTTTGTTAGGATTTAACATTAAATTTCTACAGACGAAATGTAAGGAAATATTGTTATCCCTTTCTTTTTCTATGAAAAATAGAGATGACAGTATTTTTTTGATAAAAGTTTAAAGTCGGCGGAAATTCAATGTTAGATTTTACCTCTACACCTCAAGCTTTAGTTAGTCATTTTCTCAGGAGATTTTTTTTAAAATAAAGGTAAGATAAACGGAAATAACGTAATATTTTGTTATATTGTTATAATTGAATTGGATCTTTTATCATTGATTTGGTTTCTTTATTAAAAAGTTTGTTCGCTAGCGTGGAATACTTCGTGTTTTATAAATCAACATTTTAAATTATGAAAGCTTCATCGAGGATAAGAAATAAAAAAAAATCTAGTTGTAAACAGAAATTGTATGTGTAGGAAGAATGTTAACTTCATAAAGTAGATCAGACAACTGGATTATATTGTAGGTATTTGTGGATGGAAATGTATAGATGTGATGTCTGGATATTTTTGTTGGACATTTATCAATTAGGCAATAAAAATACAATTTATTTTCACGAGTCTAAATTCATGTAAAATTAACACAAACAATACAATGTTGTATACAGAATTTTATGTACTACATAGTTAAGAATGACGTTGACATTGTGTCCATTACATTAGATTTAAATAAAATACATTCTGATATGTATATTTGTTTTTTTTTATTTATTTACATACAAATAAAGTCATCAAAACATATACATTTATTAAAAGTTAACAAATAAGTAGGAATAAATTAGAAATAAATGCATCGGATATGCACGAACCTTGTACTAATGGCGAACCCTCACGTGAGATATACAAAAGTGCTAAATCTTACGATAATATTTACAATATCCCTTTATTTACAAAATCATTTAATAAATAATTTAATATTAAACATCTAATTGTAGCTGCCGATCGGTGGAATAAAGAATTCTAATATCACAGTTTAGAATAGTGTTTTAAATATATGTTTGTCGAAGTCGTGCGAGGAGCCGGGTCTAGGATCTGTCTCGCAGAGAGACGCGCGCTTTACAATGCCATTTCTTAAGGGGATTATAGTGGCATTGGGTGGTCGCGTATTGGCTCGTAGTGACTGCGTGCGCAGTGTGTGCGGCCGGAGAGGATGCGCGCGTAGCGAATGCCGCCTGTACAAAGGGGGTTTGATCAGTCTGTTGGGGGCAACACCGACAATGCTGTGCCTAGAGAAGGGGGTATAAACTGTGGGCGTGCGCGGGACTTCGTATCCATCCAGCGTCTCGGCCCCCAAGTCAGTGTCGTACATCAGCTCGAGGTACTTGGGTGTGTGCTGTGGTAACAGACGAGAAGGTTCCATTTGCGCCTCCGGGAAATCTTCATCTGAAAGATATGGACAGTATAGTGTCAGAAAATCTGATTAAAATTTAGACGTCGCATATTTAGTATGACATCCCTGTACGAGATCATGCTTTCTTAATGACTTTTCATGATTGGCATTAGGCATTGGGATTTCAGATGTTTGTGAGACAGACCTTTTTTGTTACTTTTTTGTTATTCATTTCATGCGTATAGTTTATGTTATTCTGTCGTGATATTTTAGAGACGATGATAAAATAAGATTTAATTTTCCCAATAAATGTGGAGCTGATAATTTATCATATGATATAGATAGTAAATAAATGAAGCATTAAACGAACCTACGCAGGCGTTTTGATTCTCGTCCAGCAGGTAGGTGCGGTTGTCGACAGCATCTGAACATGCCGCATGCGCAATCCATTAGTTCACAGGTTAGTATCGGTCGGAAAGACATGCTTAGTATTATAAATATTGTCCCGTTTGAATTACATACACAGGTCTGCATAATATTATAAATGCTTCATCTATGGATTCTAAAATCAAGGGTATTGTAGTTTTTAGATATCTTGGCGGCTCCATATTACACGAGTTGTTTTGTAGAACACAATGTCAGATGTACCCGGGGTTGTGGGATGTGGGGGAAGGCACTGCATAGAGTGCCGATGACCAGGCAAGATATTTGAATAGAAGTATATCATGTGTCGTAAAGACGCAGTGGAAGGTGCTTACCGTCAGCGAGCAGGGTGAGGTAGTGCGGCTGCGGCTGCGGCTGTGCGGCGAGCGGTGCGTGCGGCGGTGCGGCGTCGCGCAGTGACGTCACCAGCGCCAGACACTGAGCGAACGTCGGCCGCGCCTCCGCGTTGTAGCTCCAGCACTGCTGCAGCAACTCGTACCTAAAATGTATTCGGTAAATAAGAAAAGTTTGTAAAACATGTGACACTAAAAATATAATAGAAAAAATAATAAAAGGTACGGTGCTAAATAAGATCATAAGTTATACTTGATTGGATTAATTAGATCCCTAATAACGTAGCAGCCGATAAAAGAGTTTTAGTTCAATCAGTAACACTAATAAAAGTCTTACAGAGCCGGTGGGCAGTTGGGAGGGCGGTCAGGCGTGCCGCCTGCGCGCACATAGTCCAACACCTGCCGGTTGGTGCGCGCCGGGTACGGCTGCTGGCCCAGCGACAGGATCTGCGAAAAGTTTCAGAAATTTCTAAGAAGCGGTTCACCTGATAAATGTTAATCATAAGCAGCTGGTGCTAAAAGATGCAGCAGGAGAACACCTATAGCAGAAAATGGAAAGACCTGTCATGAATTTTGGCTGGCTTGTAAACCCGCTCTTTATAGCAACGAGAAAAAGACTATATTTGTAATGCAGGTGCAAACCATTAGGATATTTGACATAATATCAATCTTAGAAACTTATTGTGAACGTAGTTACTAACCTCCCAACATAATACGCCCCACGCCCACACGTCAGACTGACACGAAAATATACCGTCAACTAAGCACTCCACAGCCATCCATCGTACAGGCAAAAGTCCTGCAATTATATAAGGTAATGTTAATTACCGGTTCCACGGTTTTAAGAACTTTGATATGAAGTTCACCTATTATTTGAATTGGTGAAAATAAGTCATATTTTACCTTCCCCTTCTTTTCTGTAGTAGTCATTCTTGTATATGTCTCTGGCGAGACCGAAGTCCCCGATCTTGACGAGTCTGCCGGCAGCGCGGTGCGACACGAGACAGTTGCGGGCGGCCAGGTCGCGGTGCACGAAATGCATCTCCTCCAAGTACCGGCAGCCCTTCGTCACATCCACGCACATGTTCAGCAAGTCGAGTAGTGTTAGCGATTCCGGTGTGTACTGAAAATGTTTTCAATTGAGATATAACTTTTATCATTATGTTTACTTAGAATCGACAGCATTGGGGTTGGGGGTTCCTCATCTATTCAAATTAAAGTAAAAGAATAGCAAGAAAATCAGAGTTTGCAATGTGTCCGTAAATTATGTAATTTCTGGCAAGACTTCACCAATAAAAAATGAGTTTAAACGTCGTTATTTTGGCACTGAGAGGGTATTCATTGTAGATTTCTAATACTAAATCTACATTAATCCAAACCATTCAACGTCAAAGTAGGACAGTAAGAGTAGCATACCAATGAGGGTCGCTTGGCGCGGAGATAGCTGAGTAGGTCCCCGGCCTCCATGAGCTCCATGAGGATGTAGTGAGGGTCGTTGTCGAGACAGACGCCCAGCAGCCGCAGGATGTGCTCGTGCTTGAAGTTCGACATCAGCGCCGCTTCCTTTAGGAACTCTGCTTTCTCCTGCTCTGTAGCCCCTTTCCTTAACGTCTTGACAGCGACTTTAGTGTCACCAGTGCCGTTGTTGAGGCGAGCGACACCTTCAAAAACCTCGCCGAATGCGCCGGAGCCGAGGAACTTGTTGAGCGTGATGTGGTCGCGGCGCACGTGAGGCAGCGCCGCTATCTCCGCCTCTGTTGGACTTGCTGCGCCCTGAGATTTGTTTACATGTTTATTGGCGATTTTATGTGATTTAATTCCATTGATTCGCAGTCTCTTTTTTTAAACATGAATATTATTGCCGCCCTCTCTTTCTCCCCTGGTGCGGTTGGGCCAAAGACTTTACTCTCTTACTTTCTCAATTAAGTCTCATAAAAAAATATCTTACCTGGTTGTACAATATGTTATTAGAATGTCTGATAGGGAGCTGCCGCAGCGTAGCCAACTCCACGTCAGGTCCGCGTCGCGCCGTCAAGCTGTTCATCTGAGCTTCTAGAGCAGCCTTCTTTTTGTTACGATTCTTGTAAGCTGAAATAAAAGTAACATCTCATTCTACTTTTGTAAGAATAAAGAACCGATTTAAAAAGTTCTATAATAACACAAAGTATGGCTAGTTGTAGCACCAACTGGTCTACAAGGAGTGTAAATGAATTTATACACTTGGAGAATCCAATATCTGGAGATATAAACCAGTGCGCATTAAGTCAGTGTGTCTGATTAAGGCACGTAGCAACCACGCCTCATGTAGGTCCTAGCTCAGTATGGACTGACGACAACGCTAGCACTATGTTCAGTACGTACTGTAGAGCAGAAGGGCGGGCACAGCGAGGGCGAGTGCGGCGATAGCGGCTAATGCGGCGGCCAGAGCTGCGGGGTGCGGGCGCGGCGCGGCGGCCAGCGGGGCGCCCGACAGCACCGCGCCCGCAGACAGCGCGCCCCAGCCGTGCTGATTGCGCGCCTGCACATGTGCCACGTACCCCGCGGACACCTCGCCCGCGCCGATCAGCCAGTATGATTCTAATAACAAATATATATTATACATCTAGCTGCCAATTTTCCCTATCTAAGGACAACTTTCTACCAGCCGCCATATCTAAAACTCGCTTACACATACGATCTTCATTTTTTCTCTCTATTAACCTCAATATCAGATATATTAGAGATAGTTATTTAGAAATAATAAAACACAAAAAAGTCGTTTGTATCACTCACCGGTGCCATTGTGCAGTAGCTCTAGTCCCTCGCGTATGATCCTCATTTTCATTTCATCATCGATATCATTTGGCAAGTTGGCGGGCAACAGCTCGCTGTAGTTCTTCACACTAATTTCTTCAGTATTTGTGTCACTTAAACAACATGGTTATGATAAAAAAGTGGCAAGCAAATAAAAAATAAAAGTCTAGTTTTGATATAGTTTTAATTGATATATATTCCTTAGCTTTCCTGTGTTATTTATATATCTAACTTACATATGTTGTGGTCTTCCCCAAACACGGTATTCTGTAACCGGATAACCTTTGGGGTCGGGTTCGGTCCACCAGGCGCGGAGCACCTTGTCGCCCACTGCCTGCACACGTAAAGGACCCGGCGGACCCGGCACGTCGCCTGGTTGGAACGAACAGTAATTAATATAAACAAAACTGCATCAATAGCTTCTGAATACGATATTCAATTTCAAAACGAAACAAAAAACAAACAAAGAATTATTAAGTAATATGATTCAAACATTACCCAGTGTTTCATAAGTGAAAAGGTCTTCGTTGGGCCAGTAGAAGTACGGCGCTTGCGGCACGTACTGTAGGCGCAGACGGAAGCGGTATCGGGTGCGCGGCCGCAGACCCCCCGCCCGCCACTCGCCCCCCGCCGCGCCCACACCGCCCTCCGCCGCGCCCACACCGCCCCCCGCGACCCTCTCGCACGTCCGCCACGCGCCCTTAGGCATTGCCTCGCTGTACTCCACACTGTAACTACAATCACATATCCTTTATTACGAACTGCCTCAGCACTCTTTTCTTTTTACTTAAACAGTCGCATAGTTTAGATTCTTCATATTATATCTACCCTAAGGGATTTCTTAGGTATCACTGAACAACTGTGTGTGGCAGTTAGTAAGCATTTTATAATATTAAGATTTTTGAGTTAATAATACAATCTGAAAGTAGAATTAGTATAAAATATGTTAATACTAACTGGTGCAAATTGTACGAAGTGGGAGGTGTCCAGACGACGCGCATGGCGTAGGCGGTGGTGTTGCGCAGGGCGAGAGGTGCGGGCAGCGGGTAGGTGCGCAGGCGCAATGCGGGCGAGTCTCCGGCGCGGCTGCTGTGCGCTGAGCGCGCGCGCACCCACACGCTGTACCGCGTGTCTGGACTCAGCCGCGTCATGTTTGCACTACCGCCCTCAGACACCTCGAATGTATTGTGTTCTGAAAAAAAACGAAGCAACAATTTGTTGTTTCAATGTTTGACTGAAAGAACTATTTCATAATGAGAATGAGAATTATGCTTTTTCTTAATATATTATCGTATATTTAAAGTAATGTTACCTTTTAATGGCAACGAGGAAGAGTCATCCGTGCCCCAATGCAGTTCGTACCAAAGTCCCGGGTCCGGGGTCCATGTGACTCGTGCCAGCACCGGGCTCAACACGGTCGCCTTTACGTCCTTCGGAGCTGTCGGGGCTGACATAAAAAAAACTGTTTTTTAAACTATACTAAAATATAAATGTGTGTAATTTCAAAAAAAAATTAAATTCTCACCTTCCGCAGCAGTTTGTAAGACCATAGGGGTTCCAACAATAGGCGCGACTTCGTGTAACTTTGCGTAGTAATTCGTAGCTTCCAACATCACCGTGTAATTTGTAAAAGGATTTAATTCGTTCAGAATTACTTCAGAGCTTGTGGTCATCTTATAAGAACATGTCTTCTTGTCGCAAACTGTCGGCTTGTTTGACGTTTTCAAACGATAATAAACGGTATATTCGACTGCTGCCATTTCATAATTATACTGATGGCAGTATTTTGGTTTGCCAACTTTAGGCATCTGCAGCGTCAGACTATTAGCTGAGTTTGAAATGACAGTTGGATGCAAGTTATGCGCTTTCGGGAACAAACACTGTCGAGGCGGGTATGGCTGCGTGGCCGGGTCCAACGTCAGTATCTTATATCCGTAGAACGCTTTCACTTGTTCAATCTCACTCTTCGTCAGTTTGTTCGTGTAGTAAATAGACTTTTCAGTTGAATTAAACCAATAAATATATTTACTATCCACGGTAATCGCCATCGGTGTAAAGCCGTATCTTTTCTTTGAGGCATCCACGACTACCCTACATTTGCACGCCGACATATCGGAAGCAACAATTTGATGCACCCAGGGATCGACCCAGTATAATTCTATGTCGTCTTTCGTCATATCCAGTGTAAAAGTTTTAGCCACTTGAGGATTTTCTGGACAATTACAGTTACTGCGTAAATGTGAAGTTTCGTCGTGATTGGAAAAAAATGTGCGTATTTGTGATCCATTGAGCCTTGATGTCATCAGTGTACCCAGACCGGGATGATTATTTTCTTCGTACCAATACAGTGACCTAAAGGTAATTTATATTATTTAAACTAAACATTTCGAACAAAATTCATGTAAGATTCAGCACAAAATAATATTCCTTTAAAATCGTCATGAACACATTTTCTCCTTACCCGTGTAATGGTGCTATCTGTAAGCTGTAGATGGGTTGTTTCCTAGCAAATACCCTGGTTATCAGCGGCCTCGTGTTGGGGATACCGAGGCTGGCACGGTACACCACGTAGGACTCGGTGGCCGACACCTCATGCTGGCTCCAGTACACCGCGCGCCCCACCCAGTCCGCGCAGATACTCGTTGCAGATGCGTTTATTGATGTTAACTGAAGAAGACAAACGCACATTTGAAACAGAAGAAAACAGCCATTACTATTGGAGTAGACAAGATTTCAGTATTCTTCTTATGTGCTATTTCCCATTATTTTTAGTCTTCTCTCCGTCCCTTTCCTTTTTAGGCGTAAATATGAGGCGGTGGTCATGTAATATGAGGTTATTTTTTTTTTCTTATCAAAGTCCTATTCATGGTAAAAGATGCGTTTCTAACAGTAATAGCAATAGATTAGATATTTACCTTATAGTGTCCGCTACCATTAATTCTCGATGAGAATATTTCCTCAAGGTTGTTCACCCAGTACACGACATTTTCCTCAGTGGAGACAACGAAGTCGACCGGCTTGCCCATGCTCTTTGGTATGATCTCACTCTCGCCGGAGTCCAAATCGAAGATCTTAATCGATTCTTGTGATGACAGCATCACTTTCGGTATTGGATTTATTTCATCGGACGGTGCTGATATTATTTGAGAAAATTCACCGTAACCAGCGTCTGTGTATGCTCTAACCTAGTGAACAAAAATATAATTGACTAGTTATTCGAACTTTTAGTGCATAAAATTAAAAACACGTAAAAAATGAAGTGTTTATTTCAGACGTAAAAGTATGCTTGACTTACCCGGAAAAAATAAATAGAATTTGGCATGAGATCCCTGAGCATGATTTGCGTATGCATCGGCGGCAGCATGGCGGCAGGGCACGCCGAGGATTTGGGGGCTGGGGAAGTGGCGAGCGCGCTGGGAGCAGAGGAGTTGACGGCGGCCGGCTGCGACCAGCATTGCACCTCGTACTGCCGGATGACACCGTTGGAGCGCGACGGTGCTTTCCAGCGGAACACCGCGGTCAAAGGTCCCCCACTGAAAACATTTACTAAGCTTAGTATGTTCAGGATGGAAGGGTTAATTATAAACTAGTCCGCACTAATTTCCATTCGTGCAGTAAGATTGTTTGTTTCTGACCTGTGTGCGGGCTGCACGTATAGCGCGGGTGCGGTGGGTGGCGCGGGTGCGGCAGGAGGCGAGCGAGCACGCGCACGCGCAGCTACGCCCCCGCCCCAGTGCGTGTAGGCACGTACTGTCACCTCCGCCGCGCTGTACGGCCGTGGACACCGCTCCCCGAGCACCTCCACCCACGGCACCTCCACTGTCCTCTGTTATAACAAACATAAATAAAGATAAATAATAAAATAGGAATAAGGAAAAGTAAGGATGACTTAACATTTAATAACACAATAGGAGGAACAAGTAAGTAATCAATTTCTTTACCTCAATCTTGAACTGTCCCTCGAACTGGAGGCTGACGTCGTAAAAGACTTTCGCATGCTGCAAGTTGACGCGGCGCGCCGGCGCCCACGTCACGTTGAACCGCTCCCACGAACCCACGATGGCTATCGATGATGCGTTTATCGTCTCCGGTATTGCTATTATGTATTCTGTAATGAAATTTAACTTGTTATATACATGGTTAAGTTTCATAAGATATTTTTATCAGATAAACATGAGCTCAAGGGTCGTACCGCTTTGTGCATGTATGGTTGGATCTCTGACAGCGATGACATGGACTCTGGGCATGAGTTCGGCAGTGTAGCGGCCCGCCAGGTCTGATACCACTGCACGCGCCGCATCCGCCACCCACACAAGACGCCCGCTAAAATAACAAAGCGGACCCAGCGTCGCTGTACCCGACAGCCGCGACACCAACGAACCTGACACCTAATAAACACAAGACTTAAGTTCAATGTCATAGTTAAATGAAAATATGTCCTGTAAGATATAGAAGACCAACTAGTACTCTTGTCACCAGATGATAGCAGACAATTATACTTAATTGTAAGGAACAAGTCAAACAAGTACACACACCTCACTAATTCCAGTAGATATTTTGTCAGCGGTCGGCGCTCGATGCAGCTCCGAACCGTCGTAGCTTCGCACCAACCAATACAGCCATTTCTTTTCCAAATCCGCTGTGAGGCCCATTACTACAAACCAAGGAAATTTTATTGTAGGTACAGGAATTTGTCTGTTGATGTCCCAATCTAAGTTAAGAGAAGAATTTCTAAAGAGGAAGGAATTAATAACAAAAGATCAAATCTTTTAAAATAAAAGGATACTTCATAACTTAGTTACCTTGTTTCCCACTAAACAATTGGGCAGGATAATAAATGATCTTGTTCTCTCCGTTGAGACGCGCGGCCTCGACAGCATGTCCTGTGCTCCAGTAGATGTAGGCAGCTAAAGAGTCGATGGTCAGTTCTTTGGCCACCGTCACAATAGGCACCGGCTCGCGACCACTGCCGTCGAAGTTGCCGCGACTTATCTATGTTTATCATATGTTCATATTTTTAGTCAACTTACTATCAAAAAAAGTCGACATGTAAGGATATATTTTCTGTCTATAGAAAAAAATCTTGCATAAACTGGATAACAACTAAATGCGACAGTTAAAGGTAAAGCTGGCTCCTATTGAAGACGAGGAGTATATTTCATTCAGTATTTTAGACTAGCTGTCGCCCGCGACTCCTTGCCCACGGAATAAGGCAAAAACTTAATCACTAGCATATGTGTTCTTCAAGATTATGTTCTACATCTATGTCAAATTTCAGCATTCCTACCTTCGTCCCTTCAAACAAATGTCCATCCATCCAAACATTAGCATTTATAATATTAGTAAGAAATGTACTCACTAGTTGCTGCTTGGGATTAGACCAGTATATCTTATGTCCCACCCAGTCAACAGCGAGGCTGGCGACGTTGTCAAGGGCGGGCAGCAGACCACGCTCTTTAGATGTGCAGTTGTACCACATCACGGTAGACGCATTGGTTACCAAATAGACAACATCACGGTACCACGATATGTCTGTTATGTACAAGTTCTTCAAGTGGCCACTGAAAATTACAATACAGAGATTTTAACCACATCAATTGGTTTGGTTAACCTTCACAAAAACTTAAGACAATTTGAGGACAACGTGAGAAAATCTAATTGTAATTTTAATGTTGATGATACCTGTGAATCAAGGTTTTCAAGTTGTCACCAGTCAAGTCAGTCTGCAGTAGACCATCAGGTCCTGACCATAGTAAGGTGCTGTGCAATGTCGTAGGGTTAGAGGCTAGAGTTTTCCCAATGAATTCTGATGACCACGGTCCTGAAATAAAATGACAATTATTGATGACTGACAATTAATAAAATTATAAAAATATTTTACCAAAAAAATGATAAATACCTGATCCCGACTCTGTCTCTGCCGCTACTTTTATAACGTATTCTGTGTCTTGCTTTAAATTTTTTACCACACAAATGGATTCATTTATATTTTTACTGCAAAAATGAAAATTGTCATTAGAATAATGTAACTAAATGTTTTAATAAATTCATATTATAGAACTTACATGTCAATAGTCTCCCCTGTATCCATATGTGTCAATTGTAAATGAAATGTCCACTGCTGCCAGGCACCGTTGCCCTGATGACCCAGTAGATGAGGCGGAGACCAGGACACCTTCGAGCGGTCAATGCCCATCACACTCTGCACACCTAACGGTGGGTTGACAGGTACTGGGATTGGCTGACAGCTCCTCAGCGCCACGAGCACTTGACTAGTCGCTACTAATTTAGTATTGAATGCCAGAGGATACTCGTTGTGGAAGTAGCTGTCACTCTTCGCGTGGTATTCCTCTATCAACATCTCCCTGCCGTTCGTCCAGTAGAACAGACCACTGGCGTACGCTATCGACCTCACGGATGAGAACATCGGAGTCTGCGTGTTAGGCCTGAAGTCTGATACATCGCGCCTACGACAAATATATCACATTAAACCAACGGATTATACTTTTGTAGTCGGCCTTATATTATTAAAATTCTTTTAATAGATCAAAACTTAAAGTCAACCTTTATTGCAGTTCGCAGTGAATACGCCGTTGTCATCTACCATAATATATCAAGATCTATGGACTCCATTTTATAGTTTGATAAAAACACGTATACGAACCCATCTAATGAAACTGCTAGTACTGTATTCCGTCTGAGGTGTGCTACAAGCAGCCTGAAGTCGGCGTGGTCGACTGTAAAAGATCCGAGATGTGCGTCCTTGACTATGCACTTGAGTGTAGCGTTGTGAGGCACGCCGTTAGATATATTAGCCAGGTCTAAACGGTATAGACCCCCGTGTTCCACACCACGTAGCGCCCAGAACAAATACCTAAATAATTACCAAAACGTTTTATAAACAAGCAACAAATTTAAATGAATTGACAATTTTTTTGAGATTAATTGTGGGTAGAATTAAAAACATTAACTGTAATCGTGTCTAATCAACTAATTACACTTATTCTATGGAATACAGACATGATATTTTACAGGTATATAAAGGGCAAAAATGTGTTTTATTACAAAACTGAAACTTTTTAAAATCATTTATCGTAAAAAAGTAATTTCACTTAGATATATAATTAATTCATATTGCTTACCCGTTATATGCATCCACTTCAAAATGAATCGGCCTTGAGTTGAACCCTGACAATGCTACTATTTGATTTCTTCCTTCAAAATCACATCTAATTATTTCCCAAGTAGAATACAATGATGTATTAGATAAACTGCCATCTCTTGCATAATGTACTTCTCCAAGAATATATAAATGTCGATTCAACCAATCCACGGACAGATCTAAAGGTTTGTACGTATTCTTCGGAGTGATGATGGCGTGAGAGACGCTTCTTTTAGATAACGAATTGCGATACACATAACCGCTGGATACGGAAACGAAAAGCGAGTCGCTGGAAATATCTAATCCGACACCTGAAGAAATAAATTAAAATAAAGACATCTACTTTACGAAATACAAAAAATATCCAGAGATCTTTAATTTAACGTACCCGTAATAGTTTCATTGGTAGTGTACAACTCAATGGGATCTGCGAGTATGTCATTTGCGGGAGCAGCTAAAATATTACGTTCCCCGCCTAATATAAGTATAGGTTGTTGACTTGGAACAGCTGAAAATAATACACTGATTAAAAGCATCGACCAAAAATAGTATCTTATATCTTATTTATTGTAATTTAAAATTATATTTAAGGTATATTTAACAGTATGATGGCTGCGCTCAGTAGCTGGCGACATGAAGGCAATCGGGCTGACATAGCCCAAGACCAAACGCAGAGCCCAAGATCGAGCGAACTGGCAGCGCATTGTGGACGCCATCTGCCCACTACGGGGACATAGGACTTTAAGTCAAGTGAAGTAATAGTATGATTAATAAGTCAGTCTTACATTTGGGTAGAGGAGGTGTAGAAATTCTGACATAAGCGCGGGGTCCCTCGCCGACCGCGTTGCGCATTGACACAGATACCTCGTACTCGCGCGCTGGGGCCAGGTTTTGAAACATGTAGAACAATGTCTTGTTCGACGCCGGCATGTCCTAAAGCACAAACATACTGAAACATGTGTCTCTTGTAATATTTTTCCTATTTTTCTCTAGAGTTAGTACACGACCACTGTCCATTTAAACATACTCTAAAGGAGACTTTAGTGACCAATTAACTGTTGTTAATTGTAATATTAACTGCTCTATAATTTTATTTTTCTACCAAACCAAATTCTGAATATTTACCTCTAACGCATCATTAGTGTTGGGCTGTGTGTCGGCAAGTCGCAGCACGTACGAGATGAGGGGTCCGTTAGGGAAGGGTCCGGGCTGCCACGAGATTGCGACGCGGCTGGGGTCGGGCGCGGCGGCGCGCAGGGCGGCGGGCGGCGAGGCAGGCTTGCCACTCTCCAGCGTAGATATGACCACAGAGGGCGCCGAGTACACCGGCTCTCCACTGCTCACCCGACCAGAGAGGAAGATAGCTACGCGAAACTGTAGATAAAAATTATTTTGTGAAAAGTTTTTTATTTTACTAGTATTTACATTATTAAATGAAACAAGGTCGAACGATATCCCTATGACACCTTGGAGAGTATGAATCAAAGTTACTTTCAGAAGTCGTCGAGTCGTATAGGCTACAGGAAGCCTTTTTGGACTTATTTCTATTGGATAACATGGCTTCAAAACCATTGTAAATGTAAAGACACTTCAAACAAAAGATTTTTTTTTTAAATACGGTGTTTATTTAAAAATATTTCTTGACACTTTCCATACTTGTCAATTTAATCAGACTTACTCTGTATTTAGTGTAGGGACGCAGATTATCAACATGTATGATAGAGCGATCAGCGTGACTCGCGTTGGAGTAGTACTGCCATGTGCCAGGCAATTCCTCGTAACGCCACTGCAGCAGGTGACTGAGGTTGGCCACACCGGGCGCTTCCCATACCAGAGAAAGCGACCGTGCTGTCAGACTGTCCGCTACTAATGCAGGAGCGCTTGGTGTACCAATCAGCTCTACAAAATATATAAATTTATACCTAATTAAACTTGTTAATTTATATTGTATAAACAAAAATAAAAACTAACAATTGGCTATTGGGAATAAAGTCTCTGTATAAAACATATCGTCATCTCTGTCATTATCTTTGACAAAGTAGAGATCAAAATATGTTTTAAACTTAAAAAAAAAATTGCTGTTAGCAACACACGGTAAGTCAAATTAAGAAGACGAATTATAGTGGCTTAATGTTATGTTTTCCTTATTTACATTTCTTAAAATAAGCTATAGTTTAAATATTTAGATAAATAAATAAATTAATTTATAAAGAAAATAAGAGTCATTAAAATATTAAAAGATCTAACCTCTTAACTTTTGAAAGTAAGTATTAAGAGCCTCATTGCAACCCATCACGCAATACAACTCCCGAGAAAATACAGTTTCCGATGTCACGTTCTGTAAACGAGAAAATTCATTAACACATATATTATTCAAACATAAATTATACTTGACACAATGCTTTTAAACTTACGCAAACATTCTGGCACGAATTTTTTAATCCCAATTGCCATAAACTGCATCCCAGTCGACACTGAAAAATAAAAGATATTTCAAAAAAGAATGTTTTTTGTAAGAGAAGATTGCCATAGTTGATACCTTTAATTGTCTAAATGATTACCAAACGATTCATGTATGCAATCTATGGAGTCGCAGATGATAGCTAGTTATATACAAAACAACGGGTAATAACTAACAACATAACATACTATAGAACAATTATTTCAGACGTAAAGTGGGTCGATATATCTGTGCACGTTGCTTACGTTTGTTTTATGGTTTTGTAAATCGTTTGCGAGAGTTTGGCGTGTTTACGTCGCACACGTGTTACTCTTGAAGGCAGCTCTAAACATTCACATGCTTGGCATAAGTCTCAAGTGGATCACAACTTTTAACTTCTGTTTCTTTTCAATATTTACATTTTTTTAACTCTGAGACTTAGTTGCATGTATGACTGACTTAAAATCATAAATTACAGGCAAGAAGCATTAAATGTAAGAAGTGAAAGAAATAGTAACTTACTGAAAGCTATACATTAGTTATACTGGTACTATATAGCTTCTGCGCGGATTAAAAAAAAACATAATTAGTAGCTTGTGTTCTTCCAGACTATGTTCTACATGTATGCCAAATTTCATTAAGATCCGTTATCATATCCGTGGATACCTTCAAACAAACATCCATCCGTCTAAACATTCGCATTTATATACGTAAGATTGAATCCTTTTATTCTAACTCTCAATTTTTATATGGGATAAATACAGACGAATTAAAAGCCACATTCTTTTAGAATTCAGTTAGAAAGAAAGTGTACGTTTACGTAGAATGACGTTAGTTGTAACGGAATTCCTCGCTTGGGTGACGACCTTTACGGATAGTGACCGGCAGCCGGAAGACACAGGTGACTTAAGTGCCCTTATAACAAGTGAACTTTATTATATCACTGATACAAATGTGAAAGTACTGGCAATTATTTTAGATAGAAAATTAGTTGATGTTCCAATTTTAAAAATGTTCTCTGTTACCGACGCAATAAATACGATTTTGTGTGTGGATTTAATAACATTATTATGTTTATTAAATCTTACTAATATTATAAATGCGAATGTTTGAATAGATGGATGTTTGTTTCAAGGTATCTCCATAACGGCTGCATAAGTCTCGCTGAAATTTGACATATATGTAGAACATAGTATGGAAGAATTAATATAGGCTTCTAATTAAGTTATTTTTTATATACCACGCGGACGGAGTAGCGTGCGACATCTATAATAGTTATTTATACATAGAAAAATATGATGGGTTTAAAATCGAAAAGATTTTATTGTTTTTGTACAGTACCAATAGGCAAATGGACTTAAATGTTACAAGACCCATATACTTGTAACGGTCATAATAAAATCACCCTAAATAAGAAGATATTATCATGCAACACACAAATAGATGTCATAAATTAAATTAGAAACTCGGTGGGCGTTCTTCTCTTCGTTAATTAAGTTATCAACGATGTCGGACGCTGTTTATTACACATTTCAGCATATTAATGCGTGTTTGAATTCATTATTATAATTAGAATTGTATATTTGTCAATGAGTTTATTATTGATAGACACGCATTCATAACATGTTGTATATTTAGTAATATTCTTTGACAAGACGTAATCTTACTAATATTATAAATGCGAATGTTTAGATGGATGGATGTTTGTTTGAAGGCATTTCCGGAACGGCTTAATGGATTTTGATGAAATTTAGCATACATATAGGACCTAGTATAGAAGAGCATATAGGCTACGAATTAAGTTTTTAATTCCGCGCAGACAGAGTAGCGGGCAACAACTGGTATATTTTATAATTATAGTTACACAAGTTAGTAAGATTAGGAATCTAGAAGACGACAAGACAACGATGATTTAAACCTATTTTTTCCTCTGAAAAGGTTCTTAACATCTTTAAGAATGTGATTGTGTGAAATACAGAAAGCATATGATTTGCTACGGACGAAATTCACTGTGTTATAATCCGAAGTGCGCAAAATCCATGTTATTACTAATTACCTAGCACGTCGCATTGTCATTGAGTGAAGTCGCGAGCTAATTGAGTCATCAGTGTACGCGGAACAATTAAAAACGTGGCAACAGGCGCAAACGCTTCGGGATCAGCGTTGGATTTGGTACAATTGTCCGCGTACACGCGTTGTATGGAAGAATTAGGGCAAATCAACGGCATTGTCGACGCATGCGTTTTATAAGTTGTTGTAATTTTTATGTAGTGCTTTCTTTTACGTCTAAGACTATCTCTTAATATTTGACCCGAATTCCAATTTCCATGTTGCATATTTGAACTATTAACTTTGAAGACTTTGGCTCTTCGTTTGAGGAATTGATTGATGGAAATAATAGAAATCAAAGTTTCAAATCGAATGGAAGGGTCAATAACCTAATGGTTAAGGTTGCGGATTTCCGATCACGAGGTCGGGGTTGCGAATCCCGCCATTCGACTATTGTCGTAAACCATATCCTAGCACAAGCATAGAGCTTAGTTGTAATAGTACAAGAAATATTAGTAAATTAACAAAAATCTGCTAAAAAAAGTTTGAAATCATTGGCGGTTGCCAAAAACACGGTTAGTTAAACTGTTACTTGAAGCCTTAAGAGTTATAATTTTGTTTACGTAAGTAGAATCAGTGTAAAAATGTTTAGGTTATCAGCCGCTAACATCGCAAACGTTAATAACAAATGTCTCAAATCTGTCCGCAATATTGTCATATTTATAGCAGTGTGTAATTTAAGTGATGTTTATCTCTAACTTTTGGGTCAAACGATTGCGTCTAAGTTTACTCAATTAGAGTAAAGATAAAATAAATATTTTACATAAACAACAACGACTAAAGAAACATCCATGAAACTAACAGACAAACACACTTTATAGTATGTGTTGTGTGATCTATAGGTACGAAAAACAAAAAAAAAACAATTCAATAACAAACAAACAACGTATCAAATCATTAAAAGAATATAGTTCTTATTCTCTATTGTCGTTTATTTTAAATTATGTTTGTCTGTACAGTGAAATGTCACAACACCACGCCCGAATAACAACCCCCGTACAATTTGTTGGACAGACGGACACATCCCGTTTATGATTTGTGTGAACTTCCTTTTATTTTTTTTATTTTCATTCAATCATTGATATCTTCAATGCAAGGAAGAAAAATCGACACCAAAAGTATTGCCACGTCAATGAAAATGGAAAACTATTCAATAGATTTACTCATTCTTATTTCTAATAAGTAAGCAAGATTATAAATATGTTTATTTTCTTAATGCATGCAATTTTCTTTGAGCCATTTGTTTGTAAGAACTACATTATCTTTTAATTTAAAACAAGGTTATAAAAGAAGAATACTAAAGTTAAGTGTAATACTAGCTGCAGCTCGCGACTCTGTCCGCTCATTTGAAAAAAATAATTAATATATGTTCTTACAGAATATGTTCCACATCAATGCAAATTTCATCAAGATTCGTTAATCCGTTCAGGAAATACCTTCAAACATCCATCCATCTAAACGTTTGCATGTATAAAATTTCTATTCTTGTTCTATTATTTTTTTAATTTAAAAAATGACGTAGACTATAGCCACGCGCTGGTAGTTAATGCCATAAAGAAATATTTAGATTATTTCAACGACTAAGCAAATTAGAGTGTAATTAAGCAGCGTCCTGTCTCGTGCCCTAATAATAAAAAAACAATAGTCAACTCCCTTTCGACTCATTAAAATTGTCGTTTTAGTTAATTGTCGGAGCGATTTCGGAAGTGCCTTCGGAAGTCCAATTGAGGGCGTGCGCCGGACGGAGGGCCTGCCCTACAATCACTCAACTAATATTATTATACTTAAATAAGTCTTCATTTAATTTCTTTGTAAGTCTATAGTTATTCTATACTTGAATGTTAATATCATTCGCATGTGTAGGATCCTATGTTCTTTCTCCTTCCTTCAGTTGTTCCCAAAGAGTAAGTATAGTCTAGTATTGCCGCGAAATTACGCTGGGACCAAAGAGTATAAAATACCTACTTGCATTAAAAATTTGTCTCTATTTTTTCAAAGAGTATGCGCAGGATAGAGAGTTTCTTTAGTGGAAATGAACCGTTTTTATCGAATAGTTTCAATTTAAAAACAGTTGAATCTATAAAAAAGGTTACAAAGATGATTAAAACTCTTAACTGATAAAATATATTTACTAAATAACACTTCCCCAGCAACTGTACAGATTTCCACAAAGCAATTAACCTTTCCGCAAAGATTCACTCATGTCTGATGTCAAAACAGTGAATACTTTCAGATAACGAGTACATTATACAGCTTTTATTTAAATTAATTATAGATAGTGGTATCACGGGTTGTAATATGGCGCCAGAGAGTTACCAGCGTTGACATGTTATTTCCCAGCAGCATTCGTTACTGACCCTCGATAAACTTTGATTATATGTAATTCATGTCGTTAAATGTAAACTCAGAGGATCATCTCATCGCAATGTGAAAGATGCGTGAAATTATTACTTTACCAATTGATAGAAAACATAGTTTAATATAACTAAAGTTTTCTTATATTATGTTTTCCTTTCATATACTAAAACCATAATTGTTTGAGTTTCATTATGTAGTAAAAGGTGCATCAAAGAAAAATGTTACGTTAGGTTCTGTACTTTTGAAAACGTATCTTAATATTTTACTAATATTATAAATGCGAAAGTTTAGATGGATTTGTTTAAAGGTATTTCAAGGACGGCTGTATGGATGTAGAATATAACCTGGAGGATTACATAGGCTATTAATTATTTTTTTAATACCGGGCAGACTGAGTCGAGGGCGACAGCTTGTTATTAAATAATATTTAAATTCGGATATTTTGATATTCAAACTAAACACTGTGGATACATCACGTCAGTGTTGTCACATAATTTTTAATGAAACAGATTGACGCGCACACCGGAACTTTTATATGTTACACCGTTTAAAAAGGGACCGAAAATA